CCCTGAGTTTGGGTAGTAGAGGCAGGGATGTCCTGAGTTTGAGGTCTACCTCTGTTATGTGGGGGAGTCTTCTCAAAAACCTCCCATAAGATTTTATAGGGAACGTGTCTGTCTGGCTAGCTGCAAAGATGACCTGTCAACAGCTCAGTTTGCCAATGGGGTGGAGTCACAGGAGCAAACACCACCTGCTGGAGCCAGAGAGAGAGCATTAAGTGAACTCAGAAGCAAAAACCAAAACCCAAACCAGCTTGCTGGAGCAGAAACTCATGGCAACCAACCTCGGGGGATGAGCGTCACAATGGGGCCGCCTGCATCACAAGTGGCAATTCCTGCAGCCTCTGTGTAGCCAAGGCTGCAACAGAAAACTCAGGGATCCAGGCACGTGGGACCTCACACTCTTCTGAGTCTCATCTCTAGGAGCACGACCTGGCATCATCGTGAATCTTGGAGAAAAGTGCATGCTTCTGGCAGGGAAGAGGAAAGGTGATCGGTTATGGAGCATTCTGCTTTAAAGTCTGCTCACATGGGAGAAGCCACGTAACCAGAGACTGGCTGACCTGAGGGGAAGGAAACACCCAACTCCAGTCCACTCAAGTCTCTGTTCCACTGACAAGGAGAGAAAGGAAGAACACGCGTGAAGCTCATAGTCCAGGGCACAGGCTTACTGACTAGCAGACTCACAGGGCTACAGAGTCCCCTCCTTCTAGACACAAAGCTACTACTGGCCTATTAGCTCCAGTTCCCTTTCCTCAGTGTCTCCTCTCACGCTATCAAGAAGACAAGAAGACAAGGCAGTCTAAAAGGTGAAAGAACAGTTGGAAGATACAAAGAAAGCATTGGCATCATTCAGACACACTAGGGGTCTAGCAGTCATCGGGTCAGGCATTCCAAACAGCTGTGACTTATGAATGAGGAACAGGTAGAGGGTTGTAATGGGTACATGCATAGCACCACATTAGAAAAGGAGACAAAGTAAGTAGGGAGATGAGGCATTTAGTCAAGCATGCTGTAGCAGGAGAAGCCCACGTCTGATAACATTGTTGCACTGGATACGACAGAGGCAATGATCTCTGAACTTGAAGGTATGGACAACAAAACTGCCCAAAGTCAAAGAAAAAGCAAACTTACCAGAGATCTTTGGGGTTGCGATACGTAGCTAATAAGGCTTCAAAAGGGAAGGAAAGCAGTTATATGCATGTTTGGAACATTAACACTCTGGAAACTGAGCCAGGAGGGCCTTCTCCCAAGTTCAAAGCTAGCCTATGCTGCATACTGATTTCCAGGCCAGCATGGACTTTAGAGTGAGATTCTGTCCCCAGTAGACAAACGAACAAACAACAAAACCCCAAATCCTCACACACACCCCTCACATCCAGGAAGCTCACTGAGTATTAAGGCCAAAGGATGAGAACAGTGTGCACTGGACATACTATCGTCAAATCAGAGGGATTCACATCTAAGGGAAATTCCTGAAAGCGGGCAGAGAAGCTTAGAGAACAAGGGATGAGTTAGGTCTACCTTCTCTTCACAAGCAGATGGTAGTGCCTAACCTACTGGCCTGGCAAGACATTCTACGCTCTGTGAAACTCCTACAGTTCCGTGTTCTGTAACAGCGTCCTTCAGAAAGAGTCTTACGATGAACGATTAGGGAAGCTGTTTGTTCCTAACAGATGCAAGCAGTGTTAAAAGGAAGTCTTTAGAGAGGAAGAGAGATGGAAGCCAGAAATCTGGGTCAATGGAAAGAAAGAAGAAAAAGTAAATTACAAAAACTTGTTTTATTGTTCTTCATTGATTGATGGGGAAACTATCAATTGATAGCGTCAACCAATCACATCTAGTTAGGGTGTGGCCACCTAGAACCCAGGTAGAAAAACCAGGGGATGCGGGTGCTCACTCTCTCTTCACAGTGCCCGCTGGACCTATCGGATTTCGGAACTCCCATTCTTATAGTGTAAGTTTCTCTTCTTTAATCATTAAAGTATTCCTGCTATTCTTGAGCAAGCCTGGTTACTTATCATTCCGACCTAACTCACTCCAATTGTTCCAACAGATAATATGCTGTTTAACAATATCAAGAATGCATGTGCATGTGTCTATACAAATAATAAAATGCAAAAATAAAGGTCTCACCAAAAAATTTTTGAGAAAGCATTGTCTCTACTGGGGTAGTAGTGTGGGCCAAGTGGCTAGTCAGCACTGGTCAGCACTGGTCAGCACTGGTACCTTTTCCATTGTCTCCTCTTGCTTCCTGTCTTGACAGAGCAAGAGGTAAGAGACCATCCTCCCTCTCTCCCCTCTCTCCTTCCTCTCCTTTCTCTTCTCTATCTCCCTTTCTTTCTTGAGTTTCTATCCTCTCTCTCTCTCTCTCTCTCTCTCTCTCTCTCTCTCTGTATGTATTGCTCATCCGTGAGTGGTTGGGGACCCCCTGTCACTCTCCCCTCCCCCCGCCTGCTTGCTACAACAAGATATCGTGAGCTAAAGTGCTCTAAGCTTTATCTGATTGAACAGTTTTACTTAACACACCCCCAAGTCGGACAGACCCTGGGCTTCAGGCTCCACCCACCAGACAGGACTGCAAACTGTGGTAGAGAAAGAACTAGAGGGTCCTTTGCATCCCCTCAGGGAGATGGATGCTTTCTGAAGTCAAATTTCTGCAAGTATTTTCACATGCCTTCTTTTACTTCCTTTATTGCTCCCGTTTTCCCAGTCTTAGAGGGAATGGGAGCGCCATTCTCTCTCCTGTCTGCAGTTTCTCCTATGGCTTGCCTTTCCCCACAGGCTTGTTTCAGCCACATTCTGCCAAGGCTGCGCTGTGTTGCAACCTAGGTATTGACCAAGACAACATGCAAGTGTTAGCTGCAAGTTTGCGGGGAAAGAAGGACGCAAGGATTTATATTTCAAATTGGTTTTCCAATACCAAGTGGCTAGTCCTGAAATCGCATCAAGCAACATTAAATGTACTCAGCAGGTTGTATTATGCATTTGTTCATAAATAACAATCAGACACAGAGGTCCTGGATTTGAGAGGGAGCAAGGAGGAGGTAGAAGGGGCTGCAGGAAAAGGGGTATGGGAAGGATCGGGGGGGGGGTGAAGGAGGGCGAACTAATTATATTTTAGTGAAAGTCAGAAAAGCTTGGTGTGACCACCCCAGAGGTCCCTTTAGGCAGCACAGCTGGGCACTGAGAATAAGGGGTGCCTGTGAAATACCCACCCGCTGTGCAACCCCCAGAGCTGAGTCCAGATCGCCTTTACCCTCAGCCTTTGCTTATGCGAAACTTTATAAAGCAATTATTTTTATTACTTTCTGCGTAGGACTGTTTTGCTTGCACATATGCAAGTGTACCCCATGTGTGCCTGGTGCCTGTGAAAGTCAGGAGAGGGTGTCATAGCCTTGAACCGTGACGTCACAGATGGTTGTAAGCAGTCTTGTGGGTGCTGGGAATTGAGCCCACATTCTCTGCTACAGCAGTCAGTGCCCTTAAGGGCTGAGCCATCTTTCCAGTCCCTTTGGGTCCCACTTTATCTCTCCTTTCCTTTGTTCCACTCTCCCTCCTCTGTGCTATCCAGGCCTAGTGGGCAAGGAGCTGGTAAGTCCCTTATCTCCTTTGGTCCCAGTGACCAGAGTCTATGGGCAGCTCCAAGTCTGTGTGAGCTTTCGAAGGAACAATGTAGAATTGAGTACCTTCCCCCAGCCACTGCCAAGTTGAGAGGACATTTGGGTTCTGAGTTGGAGAGAAGCAGGAAGTGCTCACAGTCCCTTTCTGTCCATCCCTGTCTTCTTCAGTTCATTTTGGAAATGTTTGTATCCTTCCACGTGCAAGCCTTTCACCTGTTTGTTTGAGCTTAGTCTTTGTGGTTTCAATTCTTTTTGTTGTTACTGTACATTCATTGTTTTTATTAACTTTCTTTTCAAATCATTTGCTAGTGCATAAATGCAACCAATGCTTGGATATTGGCTTTATGTCTTTCCAACTTTGCTGAGTTTGTTAGCTCTAATAGTATTTTTGTGTGTGTGTGAAATATGTATGCATTTCATGTCATCCCCAATAGATAATGTTACTTTTTCCTTAGAGATTTAAATATGTTTTATCGCTTTCCTGGCTTGTACTTCCATGCTATCTGGAATAGAAGCAGGCTTCCCTTGCTTGTCCCTGAAGGTAGAGGAAAAACTTTGAGGCTTTGATTGTTGAGTGCATTATTAGCCCAAGCTTTTCCTGCTCAACCTTTATTGTGCTGATGTAATTGGCTTCTCTCCTCCTTTTGTGTGTTTTTATTTTTATTATAACAGTTGTTGGACTCAGTCAATCTTTCCAGCCTTGAGCTGATTATGGTGTTTCAATTCTTTATTCTACCAATGTAATGTATCACACTGATTGATTTTTGTATATTGTACCATCTTAATGCCCTGAGGGTAAATCCCACTTGGCCATGGTTTGTCGGTAGTTTGTTGAGAAAATTTTAATGCATATGAATAAGTGATGTTGGACTGCGTTTAGTTTTACATCATGTCTTTGTTATCTTTGGTATCAGGATAATGATGACTTTGTAGAATGAGTTCTTCAATTTTCTTTTCAACAATTTGAGAAAGAATTGTGTTTTCTCCTGTAAGTGTTTGGTAGAACTCTGGTCCTGCTTTTCACTCTGAAATGTTCTGATTATTGATTTCTTCTTGTTGCTGGGTTCAGAGTTCCCATTTCACATTCGAGTCTCTGTAGGTTCTATGTTTCCAAGGCCGTGGATTTCTTCTGGGTTAACTGATTACTGGGTATGAATTTGTTAACGGTGACTCTAGTACCAGTTGTAACAGTTTGTGCTTCATTTTGGATTTCTAGTCAGTTTCTGGTGTGGGAGAATTATCTGTATTCTGTCAATCATGTATTTTAATAAAACGCTGATTGGCCAGGCAGGAAGTATAGGCGGGTCAACTAGACAGGAAGTAGAGGCGGGGCAATGAGAATAGAATAAGGCTACGGAGGAGGAAGGTTCCTCTGCCTCTCCTGCACAGACCACCGAAGAGGCAGCATGTAACTTGCCCAGCTGAGAAAGGTATGGAGCCATTATGGCTAACATAGATGAGAATAATGGGTTAATATAAGCTATAAGAGTTAACAAGAAGCCTGACCTAATGGGCCAATCAGTTTATAATCTTATGGAGTATTGTGTGTGATTTTCCTTTGGGGCTTGCCGGTTGTGGGGTACTGGGAGGGACAGATACCCCAACAAGCCGGCCCCCTCATGTTACAAGTTTCATATCTATTCCATCACAGTACATTTTAAAAACAATTTGAGACCAGGTCTCACTCTGAATCCTAGACTTGTGAATGATATTCTAATGTCAGCTTCCTAAGTGCTTGGGCCACAGTGCCCCTCTCTGAAGGACCTGCCTGCTCTATTCTCTTCTTAGTTTAAAACCTTGTCTATTTTGATTTTTTAGAAGTCAAATTTAGTTTTATTGATCTTTATATTGTCTATTCTTTATTTCTGTTGTAATTTCTATTATTTCTTTCTTTTGCTAAATTCGTGCTTTGTTTCCCTTCCGATTCCTTGAGGTGCAGCGTTACATTTTTTCGCTTGAGCTAGTCTGTTTAGAATTCAGAGTTACAAATATTCCCTTTGGTGCAGTTTCTGCTATGCTTAATAAATTTTGACTGATTATGTTCTTGCTTTCATTTATCTCAAGATATTTACTGATGTTTCCTTAATTTCTTCTTTGATTCATTGGCTGTTAATGAGTGTGCTGTATTTCCACATGCTTGTGAGTTTTCCTTTCTTCGCTGTTTATTTTTATTTTCATAGAATTGTGGTCTGAAAAGGTATTTAGTGTGATTTCCATCATCTTAAATGTGTGATGGTTTCCTTAGTGAACTCCTCTATGATGTACCTGTACCTGAGAAGAATGTGTCTTTCACTGCTGTTGGGTGGAATATCCTACAGGTCTGGGGTGCTCATTGATCCACTGCTGTTGGGTGGAATATCCTAGGTCTGGGGTGCTCATTGATCCACTGCTGTTGAGTGGAATATCCTACGGGTCTGGGGCACTCATTGATCCACTGCTGTTGGGTGGAATAGCCTACGGGTCTGGGGCGCTCATTGATCCACTGCTGTTGGGTGGAATATCCTAGGTCTGGGGTGCTCATTGATCCACTGCTGTTGGGTGGAATATCCTATGGGTCTGGGGTGCTCATTGATCCACTGCTGTTGGGTGGAATATCCTACGGGTCTGGGGCGCTCATTGATCCACTGCTGTTGGGTGGAATATCCTAGGTCTGGGGTGCTCATTGATCCACTGCTGTTGGGTGGAATATCCTACGGGTCTGGGGTGCTCATTGATCCACTGCTGTTGGGTGGAATATCCTACGGGTCTGGGGTGCTCATTGATCCACAGTGTTGCTCTCTGTTCTGTTTCTTTATCATCTTTATGTGTCCTATCTATTATCAAAGGTAGGATTTAAAACATATTATTATAGAGTTACATTTCTGTCAGCGTCTCTTTCATATTTGTAGGTGCTCTGACGTTGGGTACTGTTCTGGCTTGGATATAAACTGCCCTTCACAGGTTTCTGTGCTCACATGGTTCCCAGGTGACGGCACGTCTTTGGAAGGTGGGGCCAAATGGCACCAAAGTGTTCACTGGTGAGTGGGCCTTGGAGTTTGTTGCCCAGCCCCACATCCTGTCTCCTCTGTACTTCCTGATGTGTGGAGGTGTAGCTGTCACATTGTAGGTGCTCACCATTATCCAGCTGTTTATGGAACTCCAGCTGTTTATGGAACTCCACCCACATAAAATAGGAGCTAAAAGATCCTTAAGATATGTAAATATCCATTATTGTCTTACCTTATTGATTAGCCATTTTGGATCCTTTAATATTTTCACATACACATACCATTTTACTTTATTTTTTTAAAATAAGTATGTTATCCTGCTGTGCTTTGGCTTCTACTTTTTTATTCTTTCACTTAAATCTGAATGGAGTCATTTATAGTTGGCATAAGATTGGTTCACGAATGTTAATCCATCCAGTCTGCTACATCTTTTGACTGGGGAACTTGACCCGTGTACACTTAAAGCAGTCATTAATATGGATGGACTCATTGCCTTTTGGTTTCTGTTTGTCTTGTTTGTTTTTGACTGTTTTGTTTCCCCCTTTGTTTCTTATTGTCCTCCTTTGCTCTTTGTTGACATTTTGTAGGGATATACTTTGTTTTGTAATCATTTTTTCACGTATATTAGATGAGCTTTCTTGTTGTGGTTATCATGGGGTGTTGTTACATAAAACATAGATACATGGATATACTTTCAGTTAGTAATGTTAGAGTTTAACCAGAAATAGAAACTTCCCATTTTTATAACACCACTTCCCTTTATGTTATTACTGTACAAATGACATTTTTATAGCTATAGCTTGTTTCTCACTTTTGTCTTTAAAGCCAATACCAAAATTAAAATGTCTTTCTGTGCTACTCTTACAACACTGCAGTGCTTATGTATTTGTCTATGTAGTTACCTTGATCTAAAAACTTTACATTTTTTGTGCTTCTATGTTAAGCATCTTTTACTTTGGTCTTGGGGGACTTATTCCAAATTTTCTGTAGGGTATGTCAAGTGCTTAGCTTTTGCTTATTTGGGAAAACCTTTATCTATCTTATATTTATGAAGGACATTTTCCCCAACATAGTAGTACCATTTTTTTAATGATTAGAATTATAAATTATAATTTTTAATACATTCAATGTAATTTAATAAATTATTTTTAATTTTCATATATTTTAATTAAAATACAATTGCATTACGTTCTCCATCCTCATTCCTCCTTCTTTATTTTCTCCCAACCCCATAAATTGGCGTCTTTTACCTTGATTATTACTGTAACATACATATATATGTGTATGTATAATATGCACAGATATACAAGCACAGCCTGCTGCTGAGTCCATTTTTGTTGTTTGTGTATATATGGTTTCAGGACTGACTGTTTTGTGTTGGATAGTTAAGAAGGGGTTCATCCATGGGAGAGGCTAACTCTCACTCTCCCAGTGGTCATTAGTTGCCTGTAGTTCTGTGTCTAGGAAGATTTCCCTTTTTCTGCATTAGCGTCTTTAATTTGCCATGTTTTCTTTTTTTTTTCTGGTCTTGTTTATACAGTTCTTCCAACAGACTTCCCAGTATCCTGTCTCTTCACATCTTTCTGTTCCCTCTTCTGTGATGTTTCCTGAGCTCTAGATGCCGGGGCTGTGATGAAGATGTATCCAGGGGACTGGACTCCCCATGATCTGCTGATCTCTGTATTGTGTCCAGTTATGGTTTTCTGTGATGGTCTCCATTTGTTGTAAAGCATCTTTGACTCAAGGGTGGCAGCCACACTTACTGTGGGTATTAGAATAAGATTTCGAACATAGTTAGAAATTATGCTGGTCTAACAAGTAACTGTAGCAGATTCTTTTCTCAGCTCCATGACTTCAGGGACCCCAGAAAGTTAACTAGATTTCTAGTACCAAGCATGATTTCCCTCCTATCGGCTTGACCTGAAGTCTAATTAGACAGCTGTTGACTGCCACCCACAGGTGGGTTCCACTTGCTGCATTGTCATGGGTGTCTTGCCAACTGTGGTCATTGCTGTCATCTAGAGGAGTTTCAGCTGTGTAGAACTGTTTAATTGCTTCCCACTCGTGGCAGGTTAGATAGTATTTTTGGTGTCATGGAAGCTAGGATGCAGAAAGGAGGCTTCTGGGTTAGATCTAGTTCAAATCATTCTAGTTTTGTGTCTTAAGTGTTTGGTGTTATCAGCAATAGGGGCTTCCATTCAACCTCTGAGAGGCAACCAAGGGCTACATTGATAGTCTATATTGTTTGGAAGTCACTTGGAGACTACTCTGACCAACTATTCACAAGAAGGTTTCTTCTGGAGTTTTTCTGTTAATCTATGGTTTTTGTTGGGGAGAATTGTTGAGCCAAGAGGCATGTCTTATTTAGGTTGCTATTGCTGTGAAGAGACACCATGACCATGAAAACTCTTATAAAGGAAAACATTTGATTGTGGATGGCTTACAGTTCGGAGGTTTAGTCCATTATCATCATGGAGAGTCATTGTGGGATGTAGACAGACATGGGGCTGGAGGAGTAGCTGAGAGTTCTACATCTTGATGTGCAGGTAACAGGAAGTGAACTGGCTGTGTCCACACTGGGCATAGCTTGACCATAGGAGACCCCCCAAAACCGCCCCCACAATGACATACTTCCTTCAACAAGGTCACACCTACTCCAACAAGACCATACATCCTAATAGTGTCACTCTTATGGGGGACAATTACATTCAAACTACCACAAGGTAGAATTCACTTTAAGAAAAATGCATATATACATATATGTGCATGTGTATATACATACTTATATTTATAGTGGATAATTTGTGTAAGCATAAAATAATATCATTCCTCAAGGATTTATCAAACAGTCTTGCTGTTATTTGCCCCTACTCCCTCCTTCTGCATTGCCCTCCCATGGTATTCTTGGTTGGAAGTCTTTTCTCTTCTAGCACTTTGAATGTATAATCCCACTTCCCTCCCTTGTAGTTTTGGTTTCTGCTGAGAAACCCATGGTTAGTTTTACAAGCAATATTCTTGCATATGATGAGTTTTTTTTCTCTTGCTGTTTTCAAAATTATCTACTGACACTTTGATTATAATGTGCGCTTGTATCAACTTCTTTATTAATGACTTTATAATTGTTTTGCTGTGCTGTGTTGATCATGAATTTCTGAGCCAAAACAATCTTTTCTGGGTTCCTGTTCTTTCATATTCTTGGCCTCTTAGTTTTGGGAAGCTAGTTTGGTTGTTTAAGCAGAGCGATCAAATAATGAAAAGCTTGAGCATTTTTTTTTAATAATTGAAACAAGTTCTTAATTAGTGAAATCCCTTATCTTCCTTATAGCTTCATGTTTGCCTTTAATAATTTTAAAACTTTATTTATTTTCCATAGTTTGAGAATTTTATACATGCAAATAACGTACGTCGACCAAGTTTACACCTTCAGTCTTCCACAAGTCTCC